AAACAAGGGCTACAAGGATAACCCCGAAGGGCAAGGAGTCATAGAACCTAGACACAGTTTCAGCAGTTCGTGCAAGGCCACGCTGGATACGTGTGGCAGAGCTAGGACGTGTTCAACACGCTTCGCCCTGTACTTTGTGCGCTCCATTTCTTCCTACGCAGACTCCCCACCTTCAGCTGAACAGTCCCCCGGGCCGCTTTGTAGTAAGTTCTCATGATTCTCAAAGCCAATTTAGACTGACCTAAATCCTAAGCCTGAATCAGCACCTCATTTTACCCCTCCAAATTCTTAGTGGTCTTAATTTTTCCTCATAATCCATTTTGCCTCTGACACTGGGCAATCTAATTGCTCCTCTCTGACGCCCCCTCCACAATGGCGTCCACAGAGTGGGAAAGTCACCCAATGCTCCAGCTTTCTCTTCTGGAAAATCCAGGCTGGACCTTGTAGACCTGGGACAACTGTGCTTCTCTTGGGGTACACAAAACAGTCATCAGTTCAGTCCTGGTTGTCTTCTGTGGTCTCCAACAAGACTTCAGCAACACTCAGGACATTTCTTTTAGCTTTGCACTTTCTAACTTTCTAATGACTCAAAAATAGGGCCTCCCCAGTGCCCACCATGGTGTTTAATATTTAGTGGGCATGCCTGAAAGATATATGATATCACAGAAATGTGACTTGTGCCTTATTTTGCTGCAATGGCCTACAGAAATGAAACTAAAAAGAAGGGAGAAAATTGCAGCAACATTGCAATAATAAGAGTAGGGCAAAACAGAACTAGAATTGACTTTTAAATATGTTTTTCAAATGATTGCTAATGAACGTGTCTGTTTATTGTTAGTGTAGCATTTCCACTGACGCCATCAGGAACCTTCTGTGACATCATTCCCCTACTCTTGATATTGTTTGGGTGAGCTGGCCATCCTGAGTTTCTTTTTAATTGGCAGTATGGTTAGGATCTCTCCCGTCTTAAAAAATAAATTTAAAACGTCCTTACTCAATCATGTGTCAAGTCAGCAATAACATAAAGAAGAGAAAAATCATAAAAAGCTTCACTTCCTCAGCAGCCCCTTTTTGATACACTGCTATAACATAACCAGTAGCCTGATCTTGGGTGGGGCCACACAGCAGTGATCCTGGCTCTTGGGAGACTGAGACAGGAAGTTGTTTTTTTTTTTTTTTGAGTTGAGAAGCATTCTGAGCTATGCAGGGAGTTTCAGCCCTAAAAACTGACTATTTTGATGATAAATAAACTTCTATTTTCTCCTTATTGTTGAAATAATAAACTGTGTTTAGTCTCCTCTTAAATGTTCTTCGGCCTCTGTTGTTTTTAACATTCCACTATTGCCTCCCGATGTCCTTCCCACTATTTTGAGTTTACTCTTTCAGTGTGCCAGGTGCTTCTTTCTGCCAGACTCTGTCCTGCTTCCACCTTCTCTGCTGCTCCTTTCTAGAAGCCTCTGATTGGGTCCTCCTCTCCAGGTCCTGAAGCTGATATTCCATAGATTATCCCCTTGCCAGTCAATTTTTTTATTAGTCAATTTGTTTTTATAGATTTCTGACGTTATGTTCCCTCCCTCTATGATCTGATTCACTCACGTAAATTTTAATTTCTATTCATATTACTTAAACGATTTATTCATGTATCATGCCACTGATTAGTACATATATATATGTAGTCTAAAATCTTACTACATATACATTTTGCCCAAAATTCTTACCCTGAGCCCATATTCTTCAAATATATGTGTCTTTAGACAGCTGCGAATGAGCTCACCCTCTAGACGCTCTGACTCGGGCCGAATTGTCACCTCATGGTTCTTTCTACAATTTCTACTGCAGCACCTGCCACACAGAACCTGCCAGCACTTACTCCACATCTGGCATTACTCAGGCAAGCTTGGACTGACATCCCTTTCCTATCTCCTCTCAGGTAGCCCGAAGCAATCCTTGAAGCTCCTTCCCCTCCATAACTATCCGATAGCTTTCTCCTCTGCCTTCTTACTCTTGTTCCAGAGTTGAGGATTCTTGCCTCCACCTGGACTAGAGATAGTACAGGGCTTTGGCTCATCCAGGTCTGTGAAGTCTCCTTCTAACAACACATCATTTGGCTCACTCTATCTTTCTCTCCTTCGTTGATCTCTTTTAGACAGAGCTACAACACTTCAGATAGCCTAAAAGGCCTTCCTTAGCTCTCCAGACCTGCTCCTCATACTTACTGCACAGAGTTCTCGGAAAACACAGTTTCTTTAAATCCCCCTCAGTTTCCTCTTGCAAGTCTTTCTCTGTGGAGCATCCTCAGCCTTGGACACACCCACCCATGGTTCTTTGTAATCTGGAAAATGCTAAGATCAACTCAGTGCGATGACCACTCTCTCCAGATCTTTCTAGGTCTCTTTTAGCCCCCTTAGACGTAAAATGGCTAGGCTCTCATATGCTTGCGCATGCTCCAAGGTAGTATGCTATTATATAGAAAGCTGGGTTAGGAAAGCTCCCTCATTGCTCGTAGCTGAGGGTCTACTGTATTTGGCACTGCGTGCCCAGTCCTTGGCATACTTGACCTGAATTTGTGGAAGTTATATGTACGGTTATTTCCTTTATTTTCGACTGTCTCCTTAACTGTTCGGTGTTTTCAGACAAGCACGATTGTTATATGGATAACAGGAGATCCTCAAAAAAACAACCATGGTGTTTATTTGTATTAGGTCAAAAGAAACAGTTATTAAAAAGCGCTCACTCGTATTTATATCACACCTTCATACTGAGTCTAAAATTGCCAAAAATTCTGATTTCTATTGCTGTTTCTACATTAGAGATATATCGGAAATGTTTTCTTAAGAAGAATTTTTATGACATTCCTCTAAATATCTGCGTATCGCAAGATGGAACTGAGATAGCACAAAGGCAGGCCGAGAAAACTTTTTCCAGATGTTTGCCTCTGAGTCACTTCCTTGTAACCTTCTCTCCCACTGTTCCAATCTCCATTTCTTACAAGGAGGCTGCCAAATGTTGTACCAAGTGTTTCATCTTGCCCCACCTTTGTCTCCACCCTTCAGTCTTGAGGTGTTTAGTTGTACACAGTGTTCCTGCTTATTCAGGTCATTGGCCCTTCTCTAGGCAGATGTGAAAAAGTGAAATTGCATACTGTCCTCTTGAAACCATGGCCCGGGAAGCTGATCGTTCGTGAAATTCGATGGAGGAAAGCCTTTCCAAGTCTATTACCCACATCCTTCCCCATCTATCCACCCTCCAGGTGGAGGAAGCTGGAAATCCCCAACATCCTTTAAACAGCTCTCTGGGTAGTTTTTTGGGAAAATAAGAAACCATATGAGTAGACCTCAGGTAGACAATCATTTATAAATAGAAAGTGTATGGAATGGCTTTATGGACAACAGGGGGGAAGCCTGAAATGTATTTAATCAAAGAAAGAGAGAAGAGGATTAAAATGTGTCCTGATTCACAGAAATGAAGAAACCCTGGATCTGGTCACAAAGGAGAGTACATGACTTGAAGACACCGGCAGAGAGAAGGTGCCGCTGATAGAGACTCACACAAGAGTCTTAAACGGAACACTCTAGGGATTGGCAAAGGATGGAATGTGGAGAGAAACATTTTTAGAATGTCTGTTTTGGTCAGTCTTCATACTCTTGGATGCCTTATAAAGAGGTTCTGTTATTTCTGTTTACTGTTAGCTGAAATTACTATGAACAAACATGGATAAGGTACTTACAGCAAGGCCAGGCATAGAATATGTGTTAATACCCACCTCCCATCATTAATGCCTTATAAGCAATGGAACCGAGGCCCCAGGACGCTTAGGCCATTCACTGTAAGTGGCCTACTTGGTGTTAGAACCTAAACATAGGGCTTGCTATCTGTACCATGGAGTGGGGTCTTTGCTATAGAACCAAGTCACTTGTCTGCTGTAGGCCAACCAGGTAAGCCCCCACACACACACACTATATGTGTGGATTGTGAAAATTAGTGGAACTGAAAAATTCTACTCTATTGTAAGACAAATAACATTAAATAGTAAGATGTAGGCTAAATTTAATATATTCTAAATACAATTCAATCATTTTAATATTCTGAAATCAACAGCACAAAGGGGGGGATATGGTGGCACACACTTGGAATCCAGCTACTGAAGAGACAGAGATAGGAAGGCTACAGGTTTGAGGCCAGTGGGCAACTCAGTGAGATACTGTCTCACACTGGATTGAAAGGCTTCTATAGCATAGCTCAGTGTTATACCGTGGCCCACCAAGAGAAAGACCTTAGGTTCAACCTCAGGCCAAAAAGAAAAGGCTTAGGGGAGGAACTAGGAATCTGATGTAAATGAATCTGAGCTCCCTCACACCATTTCAGACCTAAAGGGACTCACTAAGAAGGAAAGATTTGCTTCCAACGACCTTGATGTCACGGAGGCTAAAACCAGTACCTGATGCTGACGTTGCTCCTCCAAGGTCTTGCAGATTCAAGGTGCATACATTCTAACCAATCCCCTGGTAAATTAGCCTGCTTGGAAACCTCTCCCTTCCAGCCAAGAGTTCAAAACTGACAAAAATAAAATGGTCGTTTTTATTAACCTAAATTTCCAAATCACATCACAGGTGACAGTACACACGTACAACAACAAGCTGGCCTGATTTGGCTTTCGTGAGAAAGGAAAAGGAAACAGATGCTACTTTAAGTTATACACAGTCTCACCTTTCTTTGCCTGCTATGCTTAATCTGAAAACCCCCATTCCCTCCTTGCAAACTGCTGAGCCGGCCAGCGACAGAATGTTAAGAGATCAGACTCCCATGTGTATGCTCTTTCCATTTTTCAAATGTCACATGCGTGTAGACAAGTTGTGGAAAGTGGAGTTACCCCTCACTGTAAGCCACAGGAAGGTTCTCTCCCTTCCCTCTGCCTTGCACATGCCTAGGAAAAGTGCCTCATCTCACGAATTTCTCCAGGGCCCTGCTCTGCTGGGACCCTAGGAGACAGGAGTAAGTACCTGAGTCCCTGGGCTCTGCACGTCTGGTGGCAGTGGAGGCTCCAGAATACAGGCTTATGGTGGTGTCATCTTCATGGAGCATGTCCCTTGTGCTGCTGTATTTGGCCTGCATCCTGATTCCTGCAGAGCTGCCGGGGAGATGTGCTCAGATTTGCTGCTCCAGGCTGCCTGTCTACGGTCAGATACCTCAGGAAAGGAAACCAGGCAATGAGAGGCATTCTTAACAGTCTCTCCCTGCCGGCTGCAGGGGAAGCCTCTGACTCCAGTTCCTGCATGGAGAGGCTGGGCCCCTCCCTTGTGAGCCTGTATTCAGAATGCCAAGTTGGTCTGGCTGAGGGGAAATTGCATGTGTTTTCTGGCTGGGCGGTCCCTGAACAGTAATTACAATATCTGCCTATTTTCAGACCTCACGTGTATCTGCTTATAAGTCTTTCAGAATTGCAAGAAGAAGACGACGAGCCTTCCCAAGAGCACTGAGGGACCTCTCACACAAAAGCATAATCAGAACTGGACCGCTTCTTACCCAGCATGCACCACAGGCTGTTTACTCACCTGTACCTTTGGGGAACGGGGGGGAGACTCTTCCTGTCTCCAAGGGCAGAGTGTGCATCATTCACTGGATGTCCGACCGACCCCACAGCAGACCCCTGAGGTCATCCAATCAATTTAGTTCTTCGATTTTATTCAACCTATCTAGGTGAAGTGATTTCTTTAGAGGTCACATAGCTGGCTAGGGTCCGATTAACTCTGGAAGTTCTCTCCTGTTGTCAACCGCACGTTCTCCTCACAATTTGTGGACTTGATTTTGCATTTTACAACACACCAGGCACTATTGGCAATCCCAGCTTACAGCGCTGTTACTAACCACTGTGCAACTTTGCAAGGCAACTAGCTATGTGTGCCTATACTTGTTAAGATAAGAAATGAGGAAACTGACTTAGACTGTTTCTAGCAGTTCCTCCTGAATCAGCATGATTGTGTGTGTGTGTGTTACACAACTAAATACCTGAGACCAGATAATTCATACATAATAAAAAAAATGTTTTTGTAACAAATCTGGCTCAATATCAAGGTGTTGACAAAATCAGTGGTGAGGTGTGGGGTGCACCCTCTAAGGGAGATGCTGTACCATCATATATTGAAAGGTATGATGTCAGGCCTTCCTATATTTACACAAATATGATTTATTGTACTCTCATCCTTCTATCAAAGATTTTCCACATGGGTAATGGCTGGCTAAAACAAGCACATTAAATGCCATGTAAAAACAGAGTTAAAGCATCCAGAACATATAAAAGACCACCAAGCCCCACAGATTGTGAATTCATATATGTTTCAAGCTGAATGTTGTTGGCCCGATTATTATAAATTTAAGATGAGTAATAATGGAAACCATTTATTGAACAGTAACTTGTTTAAAAGTTGAAGATAAAAATATTTCTGTTTGTTTGCATTGGGCTGAGTATGAGATGCTGTAGATGGAAGAAGACAGTAAGAAGTTTGAAGGTCAAGGTATGTGAACCACAGAGGGTAATGAAGTATTAAGAAGACAGAATGTTAAAAATTACAGAGCAGCTATGGCAGTAACACATTTGTAATCCCAGTGTTCACAGGGCTGAGCAGGTGGATCCCAAGTTCAAAGTCAGCCTGGACTATGTAGAAAGACTGTAAAAGGAAAAAGAAAGAAAGAACAAAAGAAAGAGAAGGAAGAAATAAAGAAAGGAAGGAAGAAGGGAAGGAAAGAGGTGGGAGAGGGAGAGAAGTGTGAAGAGTGTGTGAGAAGGGGAAAGAAATTGCAAACGGAGCAGGTAAACAGAGGGGGTTACACCAATTAAGCTTCTCAAGGAACAACAGTAAGGAGATCTGCTTGTCAGCGCACAGTTATTTAAGTAGGTCCTCGCTAATTTTTTTTACCACATACATGGCCATTTTTTCTATGTTCTTTAAATATTTATTTCAACAGCAGAAAATACTTTGTAAAGCATGCTATGCTGTAAGGACAAAGTCTTTTGGGTGCAAAAGTCTCTGGCTCTTTCAAAGCCTTGTCTCCTAAGGAGAAAATTTGACTGCTGCAAATGTGGAGGCAAATGTATAAATGACTAAGGAGCACAGGAACACATGGAAGAAGGTCGGTGATCTGGAATAGTGCCCAGGGGATACCTCACTGAAGAAGCGATACATATGCAGACTTCGGAAATAAGACCGAAGACTCTGCAGCCATCTCCGTGAGGCTCGTTGAAAGAGGAAAGAGAAATCACAAAGACATTGGGGTGGAAACATCCAAGACACCATAGAGAAGCCAGCATCCTCGCCGGAGAAGTAGAAAAGCCAGAGGTACCCCAAAGGATGAGGGACTTAGAGCACATGAGATCTTAAAGACAGTCATAAAGGCTTTTGTGCTATTATATTTCGTTTTTATTTTGAAATATGCTAAGTCAATGAGAGCTTTTAGTAGAGACCTGACATGACTGTATTTGAATTTAACAGAGCTACTCCGATAAGTTTGAAACACAGCATAGAGGGACAGAGATAAAGGTTAGGGGCAACTCCCCAAATTATTGTGGTGCCCAAGGCAAGTGAACACAGGAGTCTGTCAGTAGGTGTTCCTTCAAGTTTAGCCATCTGGAACTCATCCTTTAGACTTGAGGTCAGCCGCAGCTGTTAATCCCATCTCTGTGCCTTGGACGGATGTGCATGTGTTTCCATTTACATGTACTTTCCCATGTGCATTGCCATGTAAACAGGCTGTCAGCGTGTCAGCTAACAGAACACCATGGACCACCTGGAGCAGTTCCCTTTATACCTTCACTCTGGCTCTATTTGATCTTTTACCTACACACTGCGAGATTTCTCAGCTGTCTATTCTTGGGAGGAAATCTTGATTTCAGCATCCTGACATATTGTCTTTGATGATAACTGTTTCGTGAACTTATCTGTTCCGTTATGGAAACTTAGAAAGTCTCAATCAAACTGAAACTAGGTGGCTCAGTAGCTGCTGAGTAAGCATGCTAATCCAATTTGGGATTCTCACTGACCACACAGAAGCCATTTACAGTGGCCTACGTTTGCCAGGGCTGGATGAGAGGGGAAAAGAGATAGAACAGGAAAGTGGCTGGCCAGCCAACATAAGGAAACAGTCAGTTCTAGCTCAGTGGAATATCCTGTCCCAACAAAAAAGGTGGTGGTGAGTGATAGTGGACAACATGGAATATCAACCTCTGATCTCCACATGTGCACAGGTAAGTGAGCACATTCATACATTGATACATACATACACACATGACCTCATGTGTGCACACACATGACATTCATGTCTCCTCAAAAATCCCATCCTGTGCTTTAACTACTTGAGCTAATTAATCATACTTCCCTTGTATTTATCACTCTTTCCTCTACGATATTTTCAGATGTTGGCAATTCTGATTTGAATATTAAGTGATGAGAGCAAGCTTCACAGAAATGTATATGCTTTTCTCTGAGAATTTCTAAAATCTTAAAGAACCCAGGTTTATGCTTCTAGGAAAAACTGTCTAGTATACATAGTTCCTACCTAGTATTACTCAACCCTTTTAGGGAGAAGGCAAATTATGTTAGTAATTGCTACACATAGGCTGTTTATGCAGAAGCAGAAGATACTTTAATAAGCTGTTTTTCAATTGAGATGAAAGTGACATAAAATCAATCATTTTCAAGTGAACAATTCAATGGACTTAGCACAATTTCTGCCCACATATTAATCAGTAAAAGGAAGCTACAAATGGCTCCCCAGGAATTTGGAAATCCCCACTGGAAACACAGGGGGAATTAATAGAGAATCTTAGAAGCTAACAAGAACAAGGGGAAAACACATTCCAATCATACTTTTGTAAAGATTTGATTGTTAACTGCACAATAGTACATCATAAAAAAAAAAAAAGACTATGTTCTGTGCTCCAAAACACTAATCCTGCCTGGGTGCTTTTTAAATGGCTGTTATCAGACCTGATTTATCTTTCAAATTATTCTATTTAAGGAGAATGCTTCCTGTAAGAGCATCACCTCTGTTAGATCAGGTTCTGCTATCAGAGACAAGGAGGACATTCTCTGGGTTATCTAGTTAAGGAAAGAGTGAGGAAGAAGTTGGGGTCACTGCTTTTGGATGATGACCATTTTAATAGTGATCGTGTGGATGAAAATAAAAGCTTTATTTGCAGTCAAGATTTTCTTCCTTCATTTATTCACTTGTTAATTTAGAAGTGCATTTTACCTTCTGCGTATATCTGATGTGCTGCTAGACACTGAGCAAAGAACATTTTTTGAATAACGTGTGTGTGTGTCCTACTAGTCCATTTACTGGTCTCTACATGTGTTTAGTGTGGACTGCTCTGGGTTCAAGAACACATCAGGAGGATTGTTCCTGGAGAAAGGTCTTCCTCCAATTTTCACCTCATTAATTGTCTGCAGTTCTTCAGATAGGGGATAGGATCTTGTGAAACTTACATCCATGTTGGCATATTAACTGAAGCTCGCATTGTGCAGGACTTGTTTAATGCACTATATCACTGATATTTCCTGGACGCACCTTCCCCGTCCTGTCTAGAAGACACAAGCAGTAGGCATCCTGGTCCTCTGGCTCTTACCATCTTCCCCTCCTCTACAATGTTCCCTGAGGGGTGTAGGGGTTTTGTCGTCATTGTAACATGTGGGTCTGGGTACCTCACGTTCACTCATTCTCTGTATTTCTAAGCTGCCTTCACTCCGCACTTAGTGGCTTACAAACTGGAAAATGGTGCTGCCTTCCTTATGTACAGGAGCCTCAGCTTCTTCATTCAAGTTCTCCTAGCTGTGGTCCTGTGGTCTGCTTCTTCTCTCAAGGTGTCCAGGCACCGCTGCATGCCGGGATGGGAAGGATAAAGATGGAATGGGTGGGTCTGCCTTTTTTTTTCCATCTCAATTGAAAAAGATCCAGGTCCAGCTGTGAGCGCTGGGGGAGAATGTCTTCTCCAAGGACTTTAATATTATAGCTCTCTTAGACAGTATTCAGTGAAATAGCTTATGTACACTTTATTCAAGGGGGGAAAAAGGGCTATATGAACTTTGGGGTGTAGGAACTGGTTTTCAGGGTGGGTGTATATCATTGGCTGTGGCTGATACACTCTGGATGCTTTATGTGCAAGGAGAGGAATTCAGGTGCTAGGGTACATGACTAACTCAAGAATTGCAAGGGCGGGGGTCGAAGGGCTCTTGCCCTGGGGCATGCAGGCACAGAACAAGGAGAGAGTGATTTTTACTTCTACTGGTCTCAAGATTGAGAATTTTGCTGTCCGGACACCTCTGGATCTTGCTCTAGCTCCACGCCAGGTTCCCCAGGGGCACAGCACCCGGGCCCCACACTTAGCATTTTAGCATTTTCTCTGATTTTCAGTATTTCTCTTTCCTGTTCTGTTGTTGTTGTTGTGTATGCCATCCTTACACTCTCACATACATTCCATTTACAGCTGCCTCTCACAGATACTGAATGCGGAAATATTGCAGATTTGGTTGTAGACCTCTGACCCGTGAATCCATACACAGTTGTGTGCTACACTTTCCTGGGAGGCTGTATTTCTGACTTCAAACCTGTCAAAGGGAAACACAATGAGGCAATTAAAACAATCAGGGACCCGGAGAAGCCTTTAATGGAGGTGGAAAGTTTAAGGACATTGGTAAAAAACAGTTTTGAGGCACCTAAATTATTAGAAAAAGGAATCTTTAATTTAGATTGTATTTGTCCTCAAATGGTAATAGACTTGTCTTTGTAATTAAGGTAAGAAAATGACTTAAAAAAAAAAAAAGAAATGCTACTATTAACGGTTGCATAAAATAAAGATCCATGCCAATTAGTCTGTGGCTGATATACTCTGGATGCTTTATGTGTAAGGAGAGGAATTCCAGGTGCTAGGGTACATGACTAACTCAAGAATTGCAAGGGCAGGGGTCGAAGGGCTATGTGCGCTGGGGCATGCAGGCACAGAACAAGGAGGGAGTGATTCTTCTACTGGTCACACTCAGGAATCATCACTTTTGCCATAGTGCAAAAGTCAGCACCTGGTCAACTACCTTGGATGGCTGCCTCTTCTTGACCCTGTGGCTGGCAGACTGAGAAAGCCTGCTCTAGGAATGGCAGAGGCTAAGGTCAAGCACTTGGACCCAAGACTCGGGGAGAATTGTGACTAGTGTTTTCTGAAAAAGTGCTCTACACTCAAGTTACAGCCTGGAACCCAGGGACTAGTAACATTTAAAGTCCAGTTTGTGAATTTACTGAGAACCAGCTTAATTGCACGGTTGCAGTTGGAAAACAAGTCAAGATGAATGCATGCTGTGGAAGAGGGAGATGTATGTTCTGTGGGTTGTTAATTCATTTGGATGGCAGCGCTAGAGGTGAGGTAGCTGAGCGCTGCTGATGTGGCCCCGGGTGGGAGTGGGGAAGTGAGCTTTTCATTCTCTGCAGGAAGCAAACGAGATGCTACTCAGATACGAAAATCCTTCAACAGGTCATGATGCAATGTTGATAAGCACTTGTTAAACACAAGTTAAGAAAACAAACCATACTAAGTGAAGCACAAGAGAAAAATAAAATGCACACAGGGTTAGAAAGTACAGATCTTAAAACAGCTGTCCTGAGAGCACTCTAGGAGTTAATAGATAGTATTGAGAATATCGTGTGCAAAATAGTAGCTGCAAATTGGTGACAGGTCGATTTTAAAAGCACCAAGCTAAAATTATTAATAACAAAATTTTAAATTAGCTGCAAGTGACAAAAAGACAGGTGAACTGAAAAAAAAAATGAGAAGTAAACAAAGACCAAAACAAAAATCGTGAAATTAGGATAAAAGAAGAAACGTAACATCAATAAGAAGATGCAACAATTCTAAATCTGCGTATGCCTCTTCCTGTGGCTTCAAAATGTCCAGATAAACTCTTAAAAACATACAAAAGGATCTGTGTGGGTGTTTTCAATACAAATCCCATTGGCTGTGTGCAAAACACTGACGCTAATGAATTTACTTTTATGCCCTTTTACCTCACCATGCATCCTTAGGGATAGCTTTCTAGTCTCTGTTTCGGATAAAGAACGTGGCTCTGAAAGATGGGCAGAGATTTATGTAATGCCTCGTGCCCAGTGAGTAGGTCAATCATTACCTTAGACTGAAGTCTGGCTGTGAAGCCCATGCATGATCTTAGTCACAAAACTGCAGAAATCAGCAGCGCGTCTCCTCACCTGGACCAGATGCCATGGAAACTCCTGTGTCAGCAGCACCTGGTAACTACCCTCTACAGCCTTTCTCCATCCTTTTCTCTTCATCCCTATCTCCCTTTCTCCCTCTCCCTCCCACCATGACTCATCCTTTTCTCAGTAGTAAAAAAAAAAAAAAAAGGGAAGCAGGATCTTAACAAGGGCACATCAGGCTTCCACCTCTCCATGTCTCTACAGGAACTTACAGGTTGGGAGTGAATAGTGATCCATCCTCCCAGAACCACGGCCCTTCAGTCTGATTTCGGGAAAGGCCTATCCAGAATGCATTCACACGGCGAGAAGACGTGTGGCTTTCGATGAACTCCTGCAGTGAAAACGAGAATACAAACACACATCAGGGGGAGCCTGAGATGATGCTACAGGCATTCAGAGATGAGCGAATCCTTTCAAAGAGGGATGTTCATGTAAGATGACACTCTGGAGAGCACTGTCAGTCTTTGAATATCATTGAATGTCTACAGAGGAGCAGTTCCTCCTTTGAGAGCCATTGTCAATTTTCTCATCAAGAACATAATGGCAGTGAAGAGTGTGGGCTAAGGAGATGGTTCAGTGGGTAAGAGTGCTTGCTGAAAACACATGAGGACCTTGGTTTGAATTCCTGATATCTATGTTAGAAAGCCAGGTGTGCATACCTTTAACTCCCTGTACTGGAGGGGGTGAAGACAGGAGAATCCTGGGGTTTGCTGGTTCAGTGGATACACACACACAAATGCACACACAAAGAGACACACACATAAACACACACACACATGAGTGCACTTCTACACTGTTACACAGAAGCACTCATACAAACCGAAGGGAAAAATATAGGCTCAAATTATTAATATTCTACCTCATTCAACGAACTATACAATATCCAGCGATGTTCGGCTCCCAAGCAGTTTCATGGAAAATGGGCCGTTAGTTTTTGCACAATATATTTATATTTCGCAAATATAATTTCATAATAGTTTTGCCAAGGAGCACAGTGCTGTAATGAGACCCAGGCAGGTGCCAGGCAAGCGTTCTACCCCAGATCTACATCCCCAGCCTGGTACCGCATGTGTTAGGATGGAACAATCCAGGTTTCAATGAAGACTCGGAACTGGTCACAAAATGGGATGACTCTTTGCCAATTACATGTTGACATTAAATGCCACGTGGATTTCCAATACGGCTCCCTTCCCTGTCTGTATTCCCTCTTCAATTAAGTTTAACAAGAGCTGCAGCTACTGGGTGTGGAATTACAGATGGATGGAGACAAAGTGGTGAGGACATAAGAGCAGGTACAGATTAGAACTGCGCTGTGGGGTGCTTGCTGTTGCTGCCTTCTCACCGCCCTGCTTCAAAGCGTGTTCCAGGTCCCCCTGTCTCTATACATGTTCTTGTTAATAGGGATTCAGGTTGTTGGTTATCAATATCTGATGGCCAACGTTCATAACAACTGTTGTTTCTCTTTTCAACTACATATATGTACATATGTGTATATATATATATATATATATATATATATATATGTGTGTGTGTGTGTGTGTGTGTGTGTGTGTGTACACACACCTATATGAGAGTTACTTTTTAGTCCTCTTTGCCACTTAGAAGGAATTTCTGGCCAATCTTGTCTACCTAGTGAGTTCTAGGTCTGTCTTGGCTACGATGGAGACTAGCTCTCAAAATAAAAGAAAAAGAAAAAAACAATACCTCTTTGTCTTTCTCAGTATTTTATGAAGAATAAACAATCTATAAATGTATATTATCATTGCTGATGTCTTTCATGACACTTAAATAAGAAGTGGGCAATTTTTCTCTTATATTTTGACTTTGAAAAGGGAAATACAAATATACAGAAATTAAGAATTTTTCATACTATATTCAAGCAATTATAAAGTTTGTTTTAAATTATTTGTTTTAATATTATTTTTGGTTTTCTGAAACAGGGTTTCTCTGTGTAGCCTTGGCCATCCTGGACTCACTTTGTAGACCAGGCTGGCCTCAAACTCACAGAGATCCTGTGCCACTGCCTCCCTGAGTGCTAAGGTCAAAGGTGTGTGCTACCATGCCTGGCTATTGTTTTAATATATTTATACGTCTTTATTTGTTTTGTGCATGTGTGTTGTGTGGCATGTGCAGGTCAGAGGGCAATCTGTGGAAGTTGTTTCTCCCCTTCCATTATATGGGTTCTGGGGATCAAACTCAGGTCAAGCATCGTGGCAAATGCTACCTTGCAAGACTTGGTTATTTTAAAGTTAAATGTAGTTTCTTTTCAAACCAATTAATTAAAAATAAAATCACGTGTTATGTACTTTATATGACTACCGCATAATTTTGCAGTTATGTAGGACATTGATATTAACATTGTTAGGCCAGGGATCCCTCTGGCCCTGCTGAATAGGGACCCCAGGCAATTAGAGCAGAAGTTTGTGCTTACAAATTCCTTTGCGTTGTCTATTTTCAGTAGATGAGCACTCAGCCTGGAGCAGTATCTCTTACTTCCATACCGGGAATTTTGTGACATGCTAAACAGATAACAGCTCTTCTCATGCGTGATCCAACTAGGGGGGCAGAGTCCAGGAAAAAGTCCTGGAAAGAAAATTAATATCATGAAGTTCACAGTACATCAATTAATTATTTTAGTGCATTTTATTAATGCACCAATTAATTATTTTAGTGCATTTTCAAGAATACCTAATAATGAGTTTTCATTAACATATTTTATTAACACATACTTAATTTTTGATAAAAATTAGACACTATTTTATAGAATATATTAAACTCCATTTGTTCATTTAGGAGGCTGACGAATTGGTCTAGTGCTTAAGAGCACTGGCTACTCTTCCAGGGGACTTAGGTTTGGTTCCCAGCACTCACATGACTATTCACAACATTTATAAATCCAGTTTCAGAGGAGCTGACATCCTCTTCTGGCCTTTGAGGTACCAGGAATGCAAGAGCTTTACAGACAGACATGCAAGCAAAACACTCATACACATAAAAAAATTAATTTAAAATCTGTTGAGTAATTACAGAGTCTTAAACAGACAACTTGACTTATCTCTTCCATTACTTTAAATTTAGGTCCACATTCCCTTCGTCTACTGACTCTCCCTAAAACACACACAATCAAAATCAATCGCTACACACAGTAGTTCCATGTGACTTAATTTATCCTATGAAGGGGCATAAATCTAATTACTAATATTTCAAAGACTCTTTTGTGTTTCATTAGCTAAAAGCAGTGGGGAGGTAAATCCAGATATGAAATGCTGAAGGAAAAATATTGTCAGTCAGTTATGATGCAATCAGAAACAGAGGCTGAGTGTGGAAAAATGTTACAAAGTCAACAAAATTCTATGATTGGATACTTTCAACCAGAGTCTTTGGTGAGTTATTTATTTCTTCTACATATTGTTATTAGCATTTTCACTCTTGTCTTCAGTATCTCTCCCTCACTTTTCCCGGCATTTCTTTTTCCTTATGTCTATCTTATTCTAACAATACCACTGTGAAAAGATCAGTTCCATAAAGGCACTAAATACTGAGCCTTCCGTTGCATCAAATTATATCATATCCAGTAGATCTCAACACACATCCTGAGACAAAAGTGGTTACTGATCCTTTTAATAAGTGCAAGAGCTGTGGATTTGTGATGTCACTTTATCCGGTGTCTGACAGGTTATGTTATGCTAAGAAAATGCCGTTAGGCCTTGTACGTGCTGTTATTAGACGCAAACATATTCCCCACCTCACACCTCAGCACCAGGAAATGAACCTCTGGAATCCAGGATTCCATTGCTCCTTTAGTTCTGCCCTTGCCTGTAGTTTGGGGTGCCTTGGAGGGAGCCACCTTCTCATCTAAAGATGATTTTGTGGGCTTGTGGTTCTCTTTATTTCTTGACGGGAAGTTGGCTTTCTCCTCTGGATTTCTCCCTGAATTGAATCTCCAAAATGCTTCATATATCACGAACAACAACAGTGACAGAAAAAAAAAGAAAATCATTCTGCTGTGTTTGAAAATTGAAATGCCAGCACCCATATTCTATGGAAGCACATAAGGGGTATCTGTGATTAATGATAAATTAATGATATGTTCCTGATAAAAAGACAGAGCCAGGCTGGAGAGATGGCTCAGACGTTAAAGGCTAGGCTCACAACCAAAAAATTTTAAAAAGACAGAGTCATATGGTTGATACATAGATGATATATTAAATGTATGGAAATGAATAAGTAAATTCTATGAAGAAGGTAGCAAGAAGGAAATGACAGTGATCTAACAGCAACTGTAAAAGATTTGAAATAATAACTTAGTGATAATAATACTCCTTTTGCTTTCTTCTATTATTTAAAACTGGCAGCTCTTTGAGAATTACCCAGCATGTAATACATAAAATATTTTTGTACTCAATAAGCATTTGACTATTATGAGCTATGAAGACTCTCTGAAGGTATCATTCGATTCACGAAATAAAGAAACCTTAAGAGATCTGCTCATTCTTTACAATATACCTGCTTAGTAATTTTTAAGTGCCTCAGGCAATACTTGGTAGAGTCAAGATTTTTTTTTTTTTTATTAAAGACCATGTGTAAGAGAATTTCCATGTATCACTAGGCTCACAAAAATTACCTGAAACTCGTTTCCTATAGCTACCTCCTAGGGAAGGTAACAGCATGGCTCTGTTTTCCTCTCCAGCTCTGCAAGTTTCCCTCCACTAATTTATACTTTATTTAAACTTCACTTTTAAAAACCCAACTATCCATGTGGAATAGTAGAGCAATATGCTTAAGAATATATGTTTTATCATGTACATCATCTGCATTTCTACCAATGATCCCACCATTAACTAGTTCATTACTGTGGAATGGTCAGTCTTCCAGTCTCTCCGTTCTTGTATAAGTGAATCAAAAAATAATAGCACAAACCCAATGAGATTAATGTACAGATTAAATGAGATTATGCATGCCAAGCCCTTGAGAGAACGCCTGGCACAAAATAACTGCATATTCGCTGTCTGCAACTGCAAACACCTCCCTCATCCATACTCACCTAGGACACCCAGGACTGCAGCAACCACAAGTACCACCACGCACAGGATTCCCAAAACCACCACAATGCGCCGCCAGGGGGTAGTTGACGCCTGGCTTTCTAGGAAGCAGTAAGATAAGAAAGAGAATAAGGGGAGACTATGAAGCCCTTTAATTGCTGAGCTCACTGAAATGGGGGCGGTTCTGAAGGGGTCATCAGCCTCTCTGCTCTAGTGACTTGAGAGTCTATGGATCTTATTGTAGCATGAGAGTCTTGTCCTCCAGCTTCAGATGTCTCTTCTTCAGTTGCTTGAGCTGTGCTATCATTGCCTTACCATCTGTGCACCCCTCAATCCCAGGCTCACTGGATAGACCATAGGTCTAGACATTATTCATTCCCTGAAGCCCGACTTGTTCATATAGCAAACAGCTTTCATAAGAGAAATAGCACCAATTACTAAGGACAGCTTTCCCTTTTCATTTATTTGGTGCATGATTTGGACAAATTATTTTCTCTGTACACTTTTTTTTTAATTTGTTTTTTTTTTCCAGTTGTGAATTGGATCCTTCAAATACTGTTGTTGGAAGGGAGCTAAGAGTGCCCAGAAGCACTCCTTTCTAGTAATTATAAGCACTTTAGTTTACACAGAATAAGCACATACACCTTGCCTCTTCCTTCATTCAACATATTTTCCAGCCAAATTGCACAAGAAAGAAATTGTGTACGTGGTTAAGACAGGAAAATAATTGCATCATGTAAACACCAAAAAGCAGAAGGAAGCAAACTGTGATGTCAGAACCTATGAGTCATCTCCTCCTTCAAAATAGCAGTGAACTGATTTTTTTTTTAAGGTTAAGACACCAACAGCAGAAACCCAAGTCACAGAGCTGCCCAACAGGTGACCCAAAAACACTCACTCCGTGAGAAGATGCTTTACCATCCTCTATACCTTGTTTGTTTCCGTCTTAAAATCAGCTCCCTTTAATGGAACACTTTCGTCTAGCATATGTTTTCCATTACCAATATACTAACATTTCATTAATAACATTTAAAAATTCAAATTAATCTGTTATCACAAAGTATATCAAATTTGGGATTTGGGACCCTGTGACTCTTGGATTCTCTTTGGGCTTAACCAAAGATATATTCATTTTTTTATTTGCTATACAATCCTCTATGATTTCATCCCCTGCCACTTCAGCATTAGACGTTGTATGATTGTACAGGTTGTTCACTTAGCTGTTTCTTGACCCCCCCACCACTTACTATGAGACAGCAACAAGCCGCTCTCCTAAAACCACTGCATATTTGTCCATTATTTGTGTTACTAGCCCGTCCTCCCATCGATGAAGCATCTGTAGAGCAGAGTAGTCCTGCTTCCTGCCACAAACCAAAAACCATTGGTGGAAGTCGTTGGGTACTTTTCAGAAAAAGAGGCTCAGGGAACATTCCAAGGGTCTATGATGACTTCCAACAGCCTTTAAAACTACGTATATATCTACACATTATATATATATATATATATATATATATATATATATATATATATATATATATATATACCAATATCATTTTTCAGGAAGTCCTACAAATCAAGAATCTCCCCTTCTGTTATTTCAGTTAATGAGAATGAAAGTGCCGTAAGAAGAGAGTGGATACCTTTCTCTGATTGCACAGGTCTTCTGTGGACGTGGCGAGTGCTGAAGTCTAATTGAGTATATCCGTCTTCATCCAGATTCTCTGGGTGAGAGTGATATTTCATTGTTTCACAGGGTTCTAGGTAGGCAGAGGACTTGAATGTTCTTTCCAATTAAAATGACTTCCAGGGTGAAGATCTCTAAGCCAAACCTCACACAGCCCTTTGCTGAGGTTAATGGAGCTCAGCTTAAGTAGTCTAGACATTGCACAAAGCAGGAAATGAAAACCACACTGGAGTAATTTCCCACTTTTTTGCCTCTAGATCCTGTTTCTGAGGCTGTAAATTCTGAAGAAATTTGAAATGTTGTATAGTACAAGGTTGTTGTTTTAGATCAACTCTATTAGTGATACATAGATTAGAGACTTAAAAAATCGTTATTATACTCCCCACTGAAGCTGACATGACTAATTGGCGAGGTCTACGTAAACTGTTGAATTCACCGTTGGTTTGTTAGAATTCTGCTTGCACGCACGCATGCATCCTTGCTTTTGTGCTTTCCATAAATATGTATTAAATACCCTACAACTGCCAAGAGGTGGTGACACATGCAGGAAGGTTATCTACAAAGAAGCTCATTACCTAATGGAATTCATTACCTACTAAAGAAACCCATTGCCACAGTTGAGGGACATTTCAGTTGAGGTTGTTTCCAGATTCCGGCTATTATGAATAAAAGCGGCTATGAACATAGTTGAGCAAGTGTCCTTGCTGTATGGTGGAGTGTCTTTGGGGTATATATTTTTGGGAGTGGTATAGTTGGCTCATGAGGCAAGGCTAGTCCCAGTTTTCTGAGAAAGTGCCAGATTGATTGATACCTAAACACAATAAAGATGATATGCAACAAGACTATTGCCAGCATCAAACTGAATGGAGAGAAACAATAACAATTCCACTGCAATCAGGGACAAGGCAAGGCTGCACACTCTGTCCATATCTCTTCACCATAGTACTTGAAATCCTAGCTGGAGCAATAAGCCAACTACAGGAGATCAAGGGGATACAAATTGGAAAGAAAGAAGTCAATATATCACTATTTGCAGATGATATGTTAGCATACATGAGTGAGCCATGGGCACTTGTTAAACTAATAAATTTTTCATCTTTGTGACAGGAGGCAAGCACACCATGAAGCAATGCGCTCACCTAGAACTCCCAGAGACTGTGAATGAGAGCGAGTATGATCAGGATGATCATCCTGAACATTTGTCCTTGAGGAACTGTTCAGGGTAGTGGAACTCTTATGCCAAGGGCAGTGAAAAGATGCTGTGTTGCAGATTCCAAACATAACTGCTGTAAGAGTGGGTTTACCTACCACCTGCTGCCAAGTTGGCTTTTTGCTCTGTTTTGTTTTTCCAGACAGGATCTCAAAAACTCCTCATTCTTCCTGATCATGAGATAACAAACTCAGCTCTGACCTAAGAAGCTACAATGAGAGCATCGAGCTTGTGTAGGCCCATCAGACTATCGGACCTATCAGTCCTTTGGAATAAAACCCTCAGTTGCTTGGACGCCATGATGGGTCTCCCAGGTGTAGCGGAGGAAGGTAGGAGGGGTTGCTCTCTGAAAATGAGTATGTGCTTCTCAAGGTCTAACATGGATGGAGACAATAGAGCCCTCAGCAGAGTAAGTGAAATTCTCCTTGCACAGTCTCCCACACAAGTCTTACTGACTTTTCCTGACTGTGTCATAGAGGGACCATGTTTATCCATACTCTCCACTGGTCATTCAATTCAATAATGCAATCTTTGCAATGCAGCATGGTGAGAAGGAGGACATTCTACCCTCTCCCCAGATAAGGTATGTTGACATCTGAGAAACCAAAGGAAAGAGGAAGGTCACCCCTGACACAGGCCATGAGACGTTCATGTGAAAAAGAAGGAGGGAAAGATCCTCTTTCCATGTGCAGAGGAAAGAATCAGCCTTATTTCGTAAGAAGACACAGACAAGAGAATGTAAGGCAGTAGCTCCCGCCAAGTTCCCCTCAGTCCTCACTAATGAGTTAAACTCAGGGGGTCACCCATGAGGAGATATGAAAGTATGAGGGGTTGTTGAGTCAGTGGTCTCCTGTGGGGGAGGGCAGTGGGTGAGAGAGGAGTATAGGGAGTATAGAGAGTATAGGCTTCATAACGACTTTTTTATATGTATGTGTCATTATGCTTTATTCTCATGTGCTAGCCTTCCTACTTCTCTCTGGTCAGGAACCTGAGCCTGGTGTCCCTTGCAGGAACCGCAGCATGTGAGAGGCTAAGGCAAGACAATTGCAAATTCGAGGCCAGCCTGGCCTACCTAAGAAGACATTGTCTTAAAAAAAAATCATCTACCTGATATAAAAATAAATGATAATGCTTCAAAAGCAATAACGCCTATAATCTCCTGCGTTACAGTCAGCACACTGTTTGATTTAGTCTGTAACCCTGAAAAGGAAGAACATTCTGTCTTTCCAGATACCCCGAGTTCAATGTCCAGCACAGTGCCTGGAGCCAGAATGGAAAACAAGCATACTTCTTCTCATGAACGTCATCACAAGGAACCATCAACAATTCCAATTTCTACTCCCATGTTGCATTGGGTTGTCTTCTAATTGCCCCAGGGAAGCTAGGAAGAATTGAAGAAAAACTGGCAACTGCTATTTTCAAAAAGGGAACATTTCATTCATTTAGTTTCTGTTTTTGTTTTTGTTTTTGTTTTTGTGTGTGTGTGTGTGTGTTAATATATATGTATTCATTTAATTTAAAAAATTGTCTTAGTTAATTGGAGGTCATAACTTACATTTATCAAGTATGATGCAATGTTTGAATTTCTGTGTGGAGAGTGTTTTTCTTGCATATTTATTTGTGTGCTTCATTCTACTCACAGTGGCTCTTCTTTTTTCCATTGTGTTTATTTTTAATACATTATTAGCCATCCATTGATCAGTCAGATGTATTGACTTTTACTTCCTGTGCTCTTGATTTCAAAATCATATTTAACAGGAAGAGTGTAAACGGGATAGCAGCAGATAGCCCCAGGATGGTTGCCAGATTGCCCTAATTGCCCTAGTCAACAGCATCATTTTTTTTTCTTTTATGAGGGCATTTTATACCCGGTTTAGGATAAAGTAACTTGGCTTAACATATTGGCAGCAATTCACCTGGTGTTCTTACAGAGAGGAGCAGGCATCAGCTCACAGCGTAAATAACTCACTGGTGCAGCTTCTAAATTCAGGATCCGGAGACACAGTGGGTGGTGGTGCCCTCTCTCCTGTGCCAGCTGCCTAGCGACTAAGTGACTTTAAATGTGTTTCGGTTGCTGAGCTGGCTTCCTCCTGAGAAAATGTCTATAGAGATCCTTGTAAGGTGAAAAGAGACGGAAAACTGATGAATGATAATAAATCTCCCAAGATGTGCGATCTAAGACAGGCCGGTAGGAATCTACCAAAACCCCGCAAACAAAAAAACCACACAGCGAATGGTCAAAGGGATGGCGCCATCTACAGCCTTGTTTTAGGGATTACCAGGCCAATCAATTAGACACTGTCTCGTAAGCATGAGAGTCAGGTTGCAGAATTTAAGCCAGCAGGGCCCGCATCAGGGTGGAAATGCTGCTGAAAGTTGCTATTCCCTCTTTCACAGCCCTGGTTTTTAGAAATTGTTTTTTTTCTTCAGGCCTATGCAGCTTAGCCACAGCCGTGTGTGCCTATTTTATTTCTAATTTTAATGTCTGCTACCAATTTACAACTTTCCAGATTGAAGGAAACTTGTCTATGCTTGTCGTATTTATTACCCATTTCAGTGTACAAAGTAAACACTTCCCCGAGTTAAATTAATACAATTAATTGTATTGATTGCGGTTGTTTAAAATTATTTTTCCTCTTCAACACAGACTCTGAGCATCATGGGAATGACCTCTGTGCATCTTTACCATTGTCTACACTGTTCCTGTTATAGGAAGATTCTCTTTGGCATTAGTTCACACTAAACAATCATTTAGTGAGTAAATGAACAAATGAAGTAAAAAAAAAAAAAGAGAGAATAACAACCCATATTTCTTTGTCAAGGCTAATTAGAATAATGAAAAAGCAAAAATACTTGATACAATTACTTTGTTATGTAAGTTACCGAAGCATGTAGTCAGTTGTATTGTTTTGTTTTGCTTTGCTTTTGTTTGTTTGTTCAGATAGGGTCTCACTTTGTGGCCTGAGCTGGCCTAGAACTCTCTGTGTAGATCAGGATAGGCTCAAACTCACAGATTTCCACCTGCCTCTGCATCCCAAGTGCTACTTCTGTTGTCGAGACAGGGTTTTACACCGTAATTTTATTTCTGTGGCTGTTGGGGGGACTTAGGGGAGGAGGGTTTACTAAGCTTACAGTATCAGGCTACTGGCCATCATTGAGTGGAAGCTAAGGCAGGAAATTAGGCAACTAGTCACACCACAGCCACAGTCAAGGGCAGAGAAAAACAAATGCATCTTGCTGCCTTCTTGCTCACTCAGCAGCTTTCTTAAGCAGTCAGGCACCCTTGCCTAGGGATAGTACTTACTGCCCACTGTGGATTGGGACCTCCTATGTCAAGTAAAAAGTTCCCTCCTCCACCTCCCTGGCCAGGCCAATCTGATCCAGCAATTTCTCAGTAAAGGTTTTCCTCCCAAATAATTTTAGGTTTTGTCAAGTTTACAGTTAAAGCTGGCCAGGACACTCAGACTGTCCTGAAAACATACAGGACTGAAGGGCCCAAGGAGCTGTGCCGCCATGACAGGTTTCATAAGAAACTGTAAGCCCGAGTTTGTTTCCTGGTAATGTTCCCACAGCAGCTTATATCCTGTTTCTGTTTCTCAGAACATGAAACTATAGTCCGTGGAAATGAGATACAACAACTCAATAACCTCCCTGAAAATCAGAAATAATCATCTAGTAACTGTCTTGAAAGGTCCCTCAACTGCAGAACTAGTCAAATTAAAGGCTAGTTAGAAACCTTTGCTGAGCTAGTCAAAATGAATCTGTTTCCTGAGCACTTTTTGTTGGTACTCTTTGTTACCTGGGCACAGCTTGTTTCTTGGACACTCCATGAAGTGGCCCCCTGTCCCCTGGATCAGCAGCAGCCAATCCGTTTATGACAAGCT